GTGCACTTAGCAAGGAACTGATGTCTCTGGCCAATAGTCAGCAAGAACCTGAAGCCTACAATAGCCACATAATGAGCTTGGAAATGGATCCTCTTCCAGTTGATCCTTGAGGTAACTGCAGCCCTGATCAACACCCTGACTGCAGTCTCATGACAGACCCAAGCTAGAGGACCCAGAAAAGCACACCCAGATTCCTGACCCACAGAAGCCATGAGATATTAAATATTTTTTATCTTAAGCTGCTATGTTTCAGGGTAGTTTGTTATACAACTATAGTAACTAATACAACTCTCAAACAAGGAAAATGTTCAAACAGATTCAGTCACTGAATCTACCTTATAAACCACCTCTACACGGCAGGGCCTAGCCTACCTAACAGGATTTCACCATAGCCCTCCTCTAATTCAATCCAGACATCTCTAACTTTCATAAAACTTGAAAGTCTGCTTTAGGAATAAGAATGTTCCCATTTTTTTGAATGATCCAACACCTCAAACTAAAATGAAAAGAAGTCAATGGCAACCTGGCAACTGGAAATTCCAAGTCCTTGGTGTTACAAAGTCATAGATTGTCTGGTAAAAGAGAGGCCAGAAAGGGAAGTATATGCTAAAAGCTGCCCTTTCCTGTCTTGCATGAGTAATTCTTGCAGCTGGAGTTTCACTACAACCACAGGATTATGGCAACACGAAGGTGGCCATTTTCAAATCTGGCCTGACATCAGAATGTAATTCAACCAGATAAACCTGGGATTTGGCCAAAATAAGTAACATTTAAATAACTGGAGCCAATGAATAGCATCACTTTTCTATGGAACCATATGACTATGATGTGAAGAAATAAACGCCTTTGTTGTTTTAAAGGGCAGGGACAATTGGAAGTCTTGCAGCAGACAGTTACAAAATTTTCCACCCTAATCTCTCCAAAGAAGATACCAGTTAGTGGCTTTGGGAATTGGGTGTGGAAGGTGTTACTTGGAAAAGACAATTAAATTGATTCTGAACAGAACGTGAACAATGTTACTATATTTATCATAGAGCCTAAAACAGACTCTTTAGCCCCCTACACTATGAACTGGCTTTTCTGATCTACTTCCTTTTATGACTTAACTCCTTGAGATCAACATTCTATAGCATGTAAGGCACAGGAAGCTACTGCACCCCTCTCAGAAACAGCAAATTCTTATTTGTCAGAATAATTTTGGAGTGGTTTTTTAAAAATCATCCTAAAAACAAAACAAAACACTCTTCAAAAAAAATGGCCTTTGCTTCTCTGTTTTTTTTGTACTTGTCTGCCTGGGTCAGAGCAAGAGGACTCCCATCTGTGATACATTTCATCTAGATAAACAAGGATGGGTTTTCTGCATCTTACACGTAGATTGTTTGTAAAATATTTCATCCATCCCTTGTCCTTTTAAGGGCTCTCTCTCTCTCTTTTTTTCTTTCCAAATAACCATCCCTATTACCTCATCAGGGAACTGTTTGGGGCTATACTATAATATGAGGAGGGAAGGCTCATAACAAAATTGATTTTAGTTGTATTTAAGACAGTATTTCATCCTGTCCATTTTCATTTTACTTGATGACAGTGTTTGCAATTTCTCCCTCAATAAACAAAGAAGACTTAGATCTGTGGCCTGATGAGTAAGCATGAAAATTTGATTTAGAAAAGGAGTATATCCTGAAGCTCACAGAGAGAAAAAGGAATTTCCAATCCCCCACCACACACACTTTAAATGACAAAGCAAAGCAGCATTGTCCTTACACAACATCTTTCAATGCATTCAATATCAATACTCTCTAATGTTAGGTAATAGGAATAATCATTTAGAAAGAAAAAGAAGAGCCCTTAAAAAATACAAGTAGGAAATGAAACATTTTTACAGAAAGTATCATTAATCCTTCATATTGCCTTGATGCAGATACCCCACAGAAAAAAAGATACGGTCCCAGGTGCGAAGGGGAAATTGATGCTTTGGAGGAAAAAGATGAGGATTTCTTTTGAGGGCCGGATGGAGAACATGAGCAGTCTGACACCCTACCTTGGCTAAATGATTTGGCTCTCCAGACCCATTAACGGGTGGAGAGGACAAAGAACTGTGAAGTGGAAGGACAGATTTCCAGTAAACCAGTAATAGAAAATAAATAAAAGAGAAACAGAGGAAGCCAAAGTCTCCCGTGGAAGGGAACCCAATTAATTCTCTTTGATTTCAGGATCAGTTTTTCTTGCTGGAGAAGAGACTCACCAGCAACTTCTGCAAACAGGCATCCTGATCAGAAATGCCTCAGGGCTGTTGCGACGGGAACTGAGACTGGCAGAAGGAAGGGCTCGGCTAAAATTTCTTAAGGCGTTGGAGTACGTGCGTGCGTGTGTGTGTGTGTGTGTGTGTGTGTGAGAGAGAGAGAGAGAGAGAGAGATAGAAAGAGAGAGAGAGAGAGAGAGAGAGAGATTAAGAGAAAGAGAGAAATTAAGAGAAAGAGAGAAGCACATTTTTTCTTTCTCAACATGTCACTTTCCCGTATGGGAATTCTTGATATTCCTCGCTGTCCAGAGAAAGGGGAGACACCTTCCTCCGTCCCCGCCCAGTAACTTCTGATCACAGCTGGTGTTACCAGAGAGCGCGCGCGAGCGCCCAGTGCTTATAGCCGAGCGAAGATTTCATCGGGAACAAAAGAACGCTTGCCAATCAGAAAGCGCTACCCGAGAACAAGGATAACCTCTCTTTATGTTTTGAAAACTCTTTAATTAGCAAATGTCCTTGGTTTCTAACAAGCAATAAAACTTTTCTACGCAGATTCCAAGACTCAGGTCATTGCTTCTGCGACGAAGGTGGGATCCCTAACGACCACACGCCGCAGAACTGAGGAAAACAGAGCAATCAAATACGCGCTTTAAACCGTACAGAGTTCCTGGGCACTTGGTCGCAGGTTTTTTTATAACCATTTCCCACAACACTGTCTTAGTTTTCTTATAACTTCCTATACTAGATCCCTAGACTCTGGGCCCTGCCCGTGGGCAGGGTGGCCTGAGGCGGGGGTGCCCCGCGCCCGGCGCTCCCGGGCCCTCTCCCTTGGGAGGGGTCTGCACTTCCTCCCGCCTTAAGTCGGTCCCCTCCGCCCGACTCCGATTTCTCCTCGCACGCAGCCCCTCCTCCTTTTTACAACCAGGAGAGGAGGTGAGAGGGGATGGTGGCCTCACGTGGTCTGTTAGGGTCTGGGGAGAGAAAAGCCATAGGCGAGGCGCACCGCCTTGCCTCATACCGAACCCCACATTAAGGATCCTGCTAAAAGTCCCCCGCCAAGCTCAGCATTTTCAGCCCGGGTAGGACTAACGTGACTGCAGGTCACGTCTTTCTCTGCTGAGGCTCCGCTCTATTCTCAGCTTCTCTCCGCAAAAGCCTTAACCGGTGCGCCCTTCTGTTCAGGAACGTGTATTTTAGTGTACCCGGAAGAGGAACAAATCTTTCAAGCAAATTCCCTTTCTGGTGTGCTTACCTCCCCCCAATACCCCCACCCTACCCCTGGTCCCCTCGCAGCGAATTCAGGATAAAAGTTTTTCTTAACTTTTCCCTCCCAGCCCCCTGCCCCTCCCCTCAGGAATCCGCCCAGAGCGCTGCAGACAGCGCCTCTCGGGTTCCCTCGCCCGCCCCTTCCGACTTCCACCCAATCTGGAGGCCGCCACACAGAAAACAAAAGCTGCCATTGGGCCGCCCTGGAGCTCGAGGGCCCG